ATTACTGCAGTCACATGAATTTTTAAGAGTACAGTATATTTCTTCCTTTAAAAACTGAATCTGAAGCTGAACGTTGGTGGTGCACGCCTTTAATCCCAGCACTCAGGAGACAGAGGCAGGCGGATCTCTGTGAGTTCGAGGCCACCCTGGTCTACAGAGCGAGTTCCAGGACAGCCTCCAAAACAATACAGAGAAACCCTGTCTCGAAAACCCCCCCCCCAAAAAAAAAGAAGAGTCTGGAGCCAGACACAATAACGCATGCCTTTAATTCCAGAATTCTGGAGTCAGAGGCAGGTCTGTCTTTGTGAGTTTAAGGCCAGTCTGGTTGATAAAGCAAGTTCCAGATAAGCCAAGGGTACACAGTGAGGCCCTGTCTCAAAAGAAACATAATAATCTGGAAAGTAAATGTGGTTTTATGTGCCTATAATCCCAAAACTCAGGTGTATAGATGAAGACTGTGCATGGACAGCATAGAGAATTCTGGGCAAGCAAAAATCCATCTCAAAATAAAGAAGCAGTAATAACAAAATTCATCTATAGATGGGGACTTAATGTAAGTATAACTACAATATAATTCTGGTATTAAATTGTGTGGGAACAAGTATGCTGTGATTTACCTGAAAGAACTTTGCATTTCTTTTTTAAAATGTATGGATGTGTGCATGTGTGTGTGTGGGATGTATGCATGAGTGTTTTTGTGTATGTTAGCGCAATATGCATGTACTACAGCAGATGTGTGGAAGTTGGTCCTCAACGTCCACCTTGTTCGAGAGATAAGGTTTCTTTGTTGTCAGCTATGTAAGCTAAGCTAGTCCTGAGTCTCTGTGGATTCTCTCGTCTGTACCTCCCATTTCACTTTAAACAACAGGGCTCTCAGATGGGAACCAGTGCTGCCAGCCTTATGTGGGCTCTGGGGCTTCAGCTTGGGTCCTTTTGCTTGAGCTACTGAACCCCCATCTCCCTGGACCTCGCTGGGATTTTGTCCAAGTGAGACTACCATACTTCAATGATTATCGTTGTCAAAGATGCACAAACACAACCCAAAAAATGACTGAAGTGAGAAATTTCTCATTAGAAAAATATTCTTTTCTTTATCAGTGTAAGCAAGCCTCCTGAGGAAATGCCAGTGTCGATAACCCAGAATTTCTCTGTACCCTCTAAGCTTGGCAGTTACTTGTATGCTTTTACCTACTAAGCCTTCCTCATCTTCCCTCCCTGGCAAAAACCAAACCAAACCAAACCAAGCCAAAAACCACAAAATGATCATGCAAGAAACCACATAAGTCTAACTTTTTTAACAGAGAAGCTATGGCATAGGAAGTTGTCCAAATTTAAAAAGTTGTCCCCTAAATATGTAAATTTTCTTTTGGGAGATATCTCCATTCTATCTTGCAAGCTATTTGGTGAAAAATGTATTTATGCCATTGTGTGGAATAATTTTCTCTCTGTTTTTGTAATTATTTATTTTCAATTATTAAATGCATGTTTTACCATGCCTGGCCTTGCTTTTGACTTTTTGAGACAAGGCTTAACTCCGTAGTCTAAATTAGCCTGGAACTTACTACATAGCTCAGGCTAGTGTTGAAATCAGTGTATTTCTTCTGCCTTAGTCTCTCATGTCCTAGGGTTACAGGTGTGAGACACCATGCCTGATTGCCTCATCTATAATGTCTTCTTGAAAAAAAATCGTAACTGAGTAGTTTATTATTCATGTACTTCTGAGAGATAATTGTAGGGAAATGACATCAGTGTCATAAACACTTTGGTTTGGTCATGTCATCATGTTTTATACACTCCCTACTATAAATACATCAAAAAGTTCTCTGGGGTCATTTCTAACACAAAGATCCAACACATCTTTAATTCTCTCAATTATCTCCTAAACTTCCATTTTGCTTATTTGTTCTTAGTTCCTAATTACTGATGGGTCTTAACTGGCCTGTTTTTACTACTTATTGTTCTCATTAGGTGCATGTGGCCATGTTCTGTGGATGTTCCTTTACAGTACTTCTTCAACACCTTAGCCTTTCTGCTTTAAAAGTGGGGAGTCTGACTGATCTGGAGTTTCCCCAGATCACTCTAACTCACTGGGCATAGTGGCATGCAAGGTTGGACACCTGGTCACAGCTGGTTGATGGGGCATTGTTTAAAGTTCAGAAACTATCTGTTTTTTTCCTTTGTTTATTTATTTATTTATTTGAATTGGAAACAGGCTTGCTTCACATGTCAATCCCAGCTCCCTCTCCCAATTACATGTTTTTAAATATGTTTTTTTACTTTAACTTTTATTTACCTGTATGTATGTCTCTATGTGTACCCTTGCGTGTGTGTGTGTGTGTGTGTGTGTTGGGACATACCCACAGAGGTTGGAAGAGAGAGTCAGATCCCTGGAGCTGGGGATATGTGGTTGTGAGCCATCTAACTTGGGTGCTGAGAATCAAACTTGGGTCTTCTGGAAGGGCAGCAAGTGCCCTTAATCACTAAGATAGCTCTCCCCCAGGAACTACTTTTGGTCCTTTTTTCCTGAGAGTGCCAGCTCTCAGGACTTGGGAAACCCATTTATAGTCCACTATTCTCATCACTGTCGCACACTCGAGGCTCCTGAACGAGGCTAGATAGCACTCTTTCAAAGGTGACTTTGTCAAGGCACTGGACAAGAACAAAATGTTGCAAGGCGGGGATTGTTCCTTTTCAGATTTCTTTCTGAAATCCCTAGGTAGGCAGCCCCTGTCTTAAACTCTTGGCAGTGCTTCAGGGTACTTGTGGAGCTGTCCTCAGGAGTCAACCTTATTATCAAAGTTATACTAGCTATTAGTTAAGAATTGGACCTGAGGGCAGGATTACAGAATTTTTCAGAAGGAAGTGTGAAAATTAAAAAGATGGAATTATTTTGTAGAGACGGAGGTGTCAACATGTAACCCATATTAAGGCAAGTGTGCCGCATGACAGACTGTCATTCCTCACCCTCGGCAAATGTGGCCCAAATAACAGAGAAACAAGAAACCCCAAATATCACACCAACTGAACTCCTGCACATGCCTTGGGGCTCCGTGCAATTCAGAAAGGAAGGGTCCTTTCTTCCAGGCTCCAGCCAGGTGTCTGAGGGAGGCTGGTCTTTAGATTGAGGACTGAAACGTCTTTTCTCTTCAAGGGCAATGACTACATCAAAAAATGCCGGGAACGGATGATATGTGACAGTGTTTTCAAAGAAAGGTCAAATGTCATTGCCAAATATCAGCATAGAAGCATTCCATTTCTCTCAAATATTCCCATCGCAACTTGGCTGAATGTGCTTAATTTACACAATTTTCTAAAAAGATGTTAATTGTACCAGGCACCATTGGATTTGTAGTAGCTTACACCGGAAATCGGTAAGTATAAAACAATAAATGGGGCCGAGTCTCCTAAACTTAACCCAGAATGTATTTATTTTATTGTTTCAGACCACTGATTGCTCAAACTGGGGACACGAATGAGAAGGTATATGTTTACACATATTATATATTTGCATCCAGAGGCCCCTATCATGGCAGTCCAGGCACATCTTACCCTGGAGATTATAACCTTTATTCCAAGATTTCACTCTAAAGGGTATCTTTAAACGTACATAGCTCCAATCTTTAGGAGGAAATTAAAGAGAATTCCAGTCTGTATTGTCTATCCTTTCTTTCTGTCTCTCTTTTCAGGTTAGCAGTTTATTTCTGCATTAATCACCCTGACAGAAGCAAGGCAACTCAATTTTCTGCTTCTGTAGGTAGGCACATCACTTTCTGTACAGCACTAGGCATGAAAAGGGCTGCAGCTAAGCTTTGGTTACTGGTGTAATTGAAATGCTATCCACACTATAGGGTGCATTAAAGTCAGATAACGACAGTTCCTGTGGCCAATTTAAGTAGCTTGACTTCCCTGGGAAAAAAAAATTGCCTGACAGATAAGGCAGACAAACTGGCTAATTCTCCAAGCATGTCTCTCATTGTGATCCTAGAAAAATGAGAAAAAAATGAATCACAGAACCACAAAATCAATTGACCCTCGGGTAGCTCATCAGGCAGCGAGCCTGATAAACCTAAAAGCTTTGTTAATGTCTGCCTGCCTGTGTCCCACAGATAGAGCACTTTGTAAATGAACCTGCTTTGATAAATATATTAAGGAAAGCTGTGAATAAAGCCAGAGACTTCTCATTTGTAAATACAACCTCTGCTACATGGAATTAGAATGATAAAGTGGAGTTCCATGTAATTAAGTTTGTATAAGGCCTGAAATCCGTGCAAATACTTCCCCTGAATTTTGAAAGAGAACTGTCAGTTCAATTAATCTGAACATCACCCCAAGAATGTACAGAACAAAATTAAGCCGCTGATAAAACCTGGGCCAGTATTTTGATAAGTAATTCCTATATCATTTCTTGGCCACTGTGATCATTTTATTTAATCCCCTACCCCTCCTTTTTCCTCAGTTACCCTCTAAGCCATGTACAAAGAGTAGATGGCCCATATACCACCATGCAAGTAATCTAAATCACAAGGGAAAAACCTTCTCTTCCATTTTCAAAAAATTAGGGTAAATAAATACCCATGGGAAGATACCAAAAAGCAAAAAACAAAACCCAAAACCCTGTGTCTACATTGTTCCTCAGAGTCCAGACAAAAGAAACCTGTGTGTGAGCCTTGTGCAAAAACACACAGACAACCATATCTAACAGGAACGAGCCAGACAGAATTTGTGATTCAGCTGGAGAATTTTAAAGCCTCGGAGATGAGAAAAGTGAGAGGAGGGGAGAAGAAAAAGAAAGAAAGAAAGAAAGAAAGCAAGAGCTAGAAAGAAGAAATCCCCCAAACCCCACTTGCCTAGACAACCCTAGGCATAAATTTCACATCTCAGGGAAGAAATGCAGACATTACCCATTTTTCCTTTGTTTCAGGAACAAAATCAAGAAAAAAGAAAACAATTGCCTAGAAACCCCACTCTAGTCAAGGGAGGAAGATCTTGGGGTCACTCACCAGTTGTTTACTTGGAGAATTGTCAGTCCTGTGTCTTGCGCTAACTGTTTCTTCTGCTCTTCAGAAGGGTACGGATGCTGATGAAAACACAAATGTTTTAAAAGATGCATCAGAAGTTGGCAAAGAGGCACATACTTCTAAGCATGAAACCGTTCTTAATTCTATGGCTTGATTCTCCACCTCACATGGAAAAATATATTTAACTTGCTGACAAGTATGGACTGGAGCCAGTGGGGGCAATCCCAACTTCCTGTCATACTTTGTAGGACCAGCAATAAAAGTATCTAGGTCACTCTGTGTCTTTGATCTATCATGGGTGGAAAGTATCTTTGAATGGCATTAGAATTTTGGGTGTGCCTATTCCTATCTGTTGTATATAGGGGATTGGTATACCCATTTCCTATGCTCACTAGTGGGTTATGTGGAATTCATATGCTACCATTGAGAGACTGGTCTATATAACTATTATTTCTTAGTTAGTATGAAGCTAACTACATTTGGACCATGGGCCAATATGTAATCACAGCTATTTGGGAAGCCAAGGCAAATGATTAGATGCAGAGTCCTTTGTGGGGATGGGTTTGAGATTCCCTAATTTTTACTGGTTAGTTCTCTGGGCTATCAAGGTCACATACAATGACTGGCCTAGGTTACCTGTCCCTTACCCTAGGCATAAATTTCACACCTCATGGGAGGAATCAGTTATATGCCATGCTTCCTGTGGAATTTTCCCATGTTAACATCAAGTGGAGAACAAAGCCATAGGCTTCAGTTTTTAATTCTTTCCTTCCTTCCCAGTTTACTCTCACTGATAATGACCAGCCCTCCCATTATCCTCCTCTCTCTTTTACTATCTCACCTCAAAACCCAAGATTGTTATTTTAAAATCATACATTTCCTTCAAGAAGTTCTGTGCTGGAGGGCACATAATTATGAAACACATCTGTTACATAAGGTCCTGCTCAAAATTCCCTGGTTTTCTTAAACACAAAGGTAAACATTTATCCCCATGTCAAAGTTGTTCGTAGCCTAGAAAGCCTTGAGTTGAAATCTCGCCAGCATCATTGAAAGGGCTGGAGAGGTGGCTCAGTGCTGAGGAGGCCCCTTCTTTTGCAGAGGACCCAAGTTCAGTTCCCAGAACCCATGTTGGGTAGCTCCCAGCTGCCTGTGACTCCAGCTCCAGGGTATCTGGGGCCTCTGGGCTGCAATGGCCCCTTCACTCACAGACACACTGCGTTTTCTTCAATATACACAACTACGAGTAGTACAAACAAGTCTTTAAAGTATTCTAATTATCCCAGCATTTGAGGGAGAGTGTGTTTTTCAATCAACTAAGAATTGACTTCTCAGGTATTTCATCTTCTATAATAGCATACGTTCTCCAAAATGTGCATGATTGTTGACTCAGGAACGCACTTGCCATCAGGTTCAACAGAATCCCCTGTATAGCAAAAGGGTTAACTAGATCTGTATTACTATAGAATCCAGGCTTTTAATATTCTGCAAATGTTAACAAAGAAAGATGATAATGTTGAGTTAATATGGGTTAAGCATAAAATGAAAATAAATTTTTCTGATTGCGAGGTGTTGACATTTTTTTGGCTAGGGCCTGCAGCCTGTTCCTTGACGCTGTGTAATTGCAGAAGGCTTTGCCCCTCCTTCCTCCTCCTGCTAGAGCCTCCCCACATTAGTAATGACCCCTTCACTGCTTCAAAAACCACTAATGGTCTTCAGCACAGGCAAGAAAAATGAACAGGGTAAATTGGAATCCACAGTCAGTAATTTGCATCCTATGAGGCTGCTTCGGCCACATGCTCATTCCTGGCCATCAATCGCTGCTGTCAGGTACTGCACTCTGCCTCTGTGACAAATACTCCTCCTAACACCCCGCTTCGTCCAAACAATGTAATTGTCCTCTATTCTCCTTTTGGTAATGGAGAAAATGAATGACTCACAAACAAGGGTTGTGCATCACAGATGTGGAGGTGCCTTCAAACTGGAGGAGGCCTAGAGTCCAAATTTTAATTGACTGAAAACACTGGTTGGGGAAAATTGACAGTTTTTTTTTTTAAAAATCCTTCTTGTCAAGGTATTTCCTGGCCAAATTCGAGGCAGTGGTCCCCTTTTGATTTTCTGACACTCAGCTGTTTGAAAGCCTAGGTTTATAGGTTGTCAGCCCAGGGGGAAAAATTGTGCAAACACCAAGAATCAAGATGAAAATAAAGAGGTATTCCCCTAAATGTATAGAAAGGGGCTGGAAATATAATGTGCCTCAATGTGCTCTCTCTCTCTCTCTCTCTCTCTCTCTCTCTCTCTCTCTCTCTCTCTCCCTCCCTCCCTCCCTCCCTCCCCCTCCTACCCTTGCCATGTGCTGAGTGTGTTGGATTTTGCATTCGCCCAAAAAAGTTCTGACAAGTGTGAGGTGTGTGTGTGTGTGTGTGTGTGTGTGTATTAAAGGGGGGGTTAGATGAAAAAAGGTAGTTTAGGAGAAGGGCAGGAAGTGGATGTTCCTAGATTACTACAGAGCCAAATCCTTCAAGTTTGATTGCAAATTCTGATTGAATAACAAGAATGCTCTCTAATGTTTTATTAGAAATGTAGTCAAATGACTGCAGAATTTTATAAACAGTACATTTTATCTTGGGAATCCCTTGCTATACTTTCTCTATTTCATAAGCCATTTCAAATCCCATCCAGAATCATTAAAAACATTGGTACCTTACCAAAATTCACCTTGCGCAGATGGCTTTTTTTTAATTAATAGGGAAGACTAGAATAAGTTTTAAGTTCTTTGAATGCCATACTGTGGGTTTTGAGCACTCCAGATCCATGCCCCTTTTATACATGGGGTGGCTGCTGATCTGTAAGTGCCCTGGCAGTCGGCCACTGGATTTCTAAAATTAAAAGAGCGATTGAGAACAATCAGCCTTCAGAAGGATTGGGACGTGACAATGTGTTTTGGATTAATTTACAAGTATATGTTCAGATTTAAGGGCAAACCACGGAACTAAAGGACTTCTCCTGAGTGATCTATCGTGTGCATGCTTTATTGGGACAGACATCATGTTGAAATAATAAACAGGGGAAGCCTTCGCTCCTTCTTTGATGTATATTACTAAATGTCTGACTGGCTCAAGTTTAAAATAAACTTCAGTATGTTTGCACTTGGAAACTGGAAGTGGACCACAAGCAATAATTTGTAGTCAATCTCCATGTTCTTGGCCTAAAGCTATAGTTTTGACTGTTCACTGTTGGGGGCCAACTCACTTGGGTCCAGTGGCTCAAAGTTGGCTCAGTTTCCTTCTGTTGTCATACACTAGCAATGATGATGAGTTCTTTCATCAATAAAGCACTGAAGGTTAAGGATTTTCACATCTCAAAATAATCTCAAGGCCACCAGTGAATATAAGCACATCTTTAAAGGTCTTCTTACTTGGAATATCAACTAACAAAGGTTGGGAAAGTGTAAAGGGCATGCATAGCTCATGATTCAATAAGGATAGAAAATGTTTTTAAATTGTGTCTCATGTACAAATCAACTTGAAAGCAAGATGTCTTTATTCAAGTCACAACAGGCCTCCTTCTTAGGGAAGACCAAGTACATGATACTTTGTAGATCAAGTGCATGGAATCAGAGGAGCTACATTCTTACATTATATCCCTGGGACATGGATGAAAAAGCATGTATCTGAACAAGCATAATAACACAAGTTTTGAAGGTTAATTCTAATTCTTTTCTCCTTTTCTCCCCAGAATAAATTTTAATATAAGACAAACTGATGGAACGAAATCACAGCATTTGTTCTTCCTTGACTTAAAAAAAGAATCACTAATTTTGGAGGTCACAGGGCTGACGATACATTCTTAGCATCTTGCTAGCTTGCTGATGATAACATCTCTAATGAATGGCTATGACAACAGTTGCATAACCTATTTTTGTAGAAATTTGAAGATCCCTTTTGCCAAATACTAACTCTTTAGTGGAGCTCACAGATACCTGATAGGTAACTAAATGGAACAAAAGGATTGGAATCTCTGTTTTTATGTCATGTCTCTCATCTTTGCTGCTTCACCATTTGGATAATACTCCACTGAGATTTGGATATAGACATGCTGATCATTTGAGAACTGTTTAATGTAGGACTAACTTCGCCTATTGCTCATTGGAACTAGCAAGCATTTCTTCTACCCTACCTGGGGCTTTCTTTGCATACAAGCACCAGCAGTTCACGGCCTTATCATAAGTCCTGGACTAAACCACAAGACTAGGACACTTAACCAAAATGATGACACCAGAATAACACAGCAGTTCCTAAGTGAGGCTGACTGCCCTTTAGTGCCCCAAGTACAAGGCCAGCATGTTTATACACAGGAAGAACATCTTCGAAACTGTGCCCATGACTAATTGACAATTATAGAAGTTCAGCCCACCCCAGAAAATCAATAAAGCCTACTGCTCCTTTTGCTAAGCAGCAGCTAGAGCAGCTCTCCTTCCTTCCTTCCTTCCTTCCTTCCTTCCTTCCTTCCTTCCTTCCTTCCTTCCCTCCCTCCCTCCCTCCTCCTCCCTCCCTCCCTTCCTTCCTTCCTTCCTTCCTTCCTTCCTTCCTTCCTTCCTTCCTTCCCTCCCTCCCTCCTTTCCTTCCTTCCTCCTTCCTTTTCCCTCTCTCATTCCACTCTTTCTCCCTCCCTTCTCTCATTTTGGCTTTCTTGAGACAGTCTAAACTCTGCAGTCTAGCTCAGGTGGCCAGGCTAAAGAGAAATCATTTTTGTAGCTTATGCTGGCCTGGAATCCATGGCAATCCTCTTGCCTACTGAGCACTGAGATTATGGGCATGCGCCACTCTGCCTAGTTCCAGTCACCTGTTTGATTATTGTTGGCTTCCTTTCTGCTTACAAGCTGAAGTCCCAATAATAGAACCCAACCTCTCTTCTTCATGATATATGACTTTGTATTGTTTCTACTGTTTCCACACCATTAGATGTTGCCTTCTGGTATCATTCTTACAATTAATGGAAGACTTCCATTCTAGCATTCACATTTTTCCATTAAAGTGTATTTCAACCTTTCCTTTGGTAA